CCTTTGTCATTATGACAGCTCTAAAGACCTAAACTTGGATTCAGTAGGAAGGATGAAACCCTGATTAAGAAATAAGTCCCTGATTTAAGAAATTCCAGCATCTGCTTTAGTCTCTTTCTCTCTCTGCCCAGATTCTTCATTCCCCTGCCTGACACATCACTTCTCTTGACTTAGTAACAGCCCCTGTGTCAGGTTTTTGTTTTTTAAGTAATGCTCTCCTTGTATAACTGATATTTATAAAGAATCAAGTCTTTTAAAAATTTCTTTATTTGTGTAGTTGGAGCTGTGTCTGGGTTCCACTGGAAGGTGACTTTTTTTTTACTTGTTTCTCTCGTCTCTGTTTCTTTGTGCAGTTTCCCATCTTTGTTCTTTCTGTGTATGTTCTTTTCAACTCAAATAATTTTCAATTTCCTACTCTGTCTTCTCTCTTATGCTCTATCTCTCTGCCTCCCTCCCTCGCTCTCTCTCCTCCTCCTCCTTCTTTGAATTATCTTGTGTTTCTTCAACCCCCTTTCTATCTTCCCCTCCCCTGTCCTTGATTCTGGTCTTTTACTCTGCTTTCATGCACACACACACACACACACACACACACCTATATCTTTACATTGCCACCTTATCCTCCTTTTTTCTCTATTTTTCTATTACTTCTCCCTCCTCCTCCTATTTTGTCTGATTTGTTTTGCTATTTCCCCCTTTATCTTTTTACTTATTTTTATCCTTTTTATTTTTAAATTATCTTTTCGTTTATTTTTCTTTCTCTCTAACTTTCTTTTAATCTCTCTATGAGATTTTTCTTTGTATCTTTTCATTTATTTTTCTTTCTCTCTTTCTTTTAATCTCTCTATGAGATTTTTCTTTGTATCATTTTTTGCTCTGTAATTCTGTCTCATTAGCTCTTTATCAGTGATCTATGCATGGACTCTATATCTGTCTCTCTTTCCATCTAGTTACGTACTGCTGGGTGGCTGTGTGTTTCTCCTTTTCCTCCTTCCTTTCTAACAATTTCTGTACATTTTTTTTCTTGTTCTCTTACATTCTCATCATTCCCTGTCCCACTGTTCATTTTCTCCACTCTCTATTTCTTCTCTTTCTGAAAGTATTAATATTTTAACAATTTTAATGCTTTCCCAGGACCCTCAGCTCTTTCTATGACTCAAAAGTGGCACGTCTTCCAGGAGATTCATTTAAGAACTAGTAATTCTCTCTCCCCTACACCTGAATTCACTCTTCACAGTTAGGAAGCAGAGAGTGGGGTTTAGGTAGGTATTCTGGAAACGTTTGCTATGTCTTCTCTTTTGTCTCCATTCCTCAACCCTGAACACGGAGAGTTTGGAATGGGAACCCAGAACTGGGAAGGAGGAATCCTATTGGAGAGACAATCACATTTTGTTTGTATAACTAACTAATGGAGGGAATTACACTTATGCTTTGCCATACGACCTTATTTTATTTGAAAACATCTACTAAAGAAATATTTTTACTAGATTCTGTGATGGGAGCCAGAAAGGGGGAATTAAATGTGGAGTCTTGCTCTCCAAAGCCTGGAAGTCTTTTCTGAAAACCCTAGATTAAGATAAAAGAGATAACACATTTTAAAAGACATTAAAGCATTGAGTAGGTACCATCTCCTAGCTGGTCCTGCAGCAGGTCTGAGGCTGTAGACGATGTAAGAGGAGAGTATCCATCTTCCTCTAGCAGAGCTGCTGGTGGATTAAAACCATCTGAGAAGTACAGCCTTTGGGTTAAGAGAGATGTCACTGCTTATCCTCAGTGGTCTAGAGTATTGCCAGGTCATGTCAGTTCGTACTCATACCAACCACATGTGACTGAGGAGACTGACGCATAGACTCTAGTCATTACAGGAGAATATTGTCAGATCTTTCTTTCTTGAGACAGTGGGTGGGTTTGAGCCACCAGCCTTTTAGTTAGCAGTTGAACACTTAACTCATTGTACCACAAAGGGCTCTTTAAGCATTATGTAAATGTGATAGAGAGGGAGTGAAACCAGATCACTCCCTAGAGGGAAGGATTTTGAAGCTCCACCTGTCACATGTTGGTCATGAGGCCAGGAGGGACCAGTTCTCGAAGAAGGACATTATGCTTTGACGGGTGGAAGGACAGCACAAGAGAGGAAGACCCTGGACTGACACAGTGACTGGGATGGCGAAACAGGTATATCAGAGACAGTGAGATTTGCTCATGATAGGGCAGGAATCAGAGTTACTGTGCATAGGGCTGCTATGAGTCTCGGTTGACTTGACAGCACATAACAACAACAATATATGATAAGAATAAATGAATGTATTTGAACAGAGTTCTGAAATATTTCTAGGATTTCATCAGATAGAGAAGTGAGGGATGAACATTTGATGCAGAGGATAGAGCTTGAGTAAGGATTTAGAGAGAGAAAGATACATTCTGTAGTCAGATTCCTGCTTCAAGGCTCAAAACTCATTGCCATCAACTCAGTTCTGACCCATAGTAGCTCTACATTGACTTTCTGAGGGTAAAAACAATGAGAAGAGACTGTCCGTCTTTCTCTCACCAGCCCACACACTTTTTAGGGCTCATTCACCCATTCTTTATGTCTGCATATCAGCAGCTGATGGGCCCAGAGCTTCAGCTCTCACTACAAGTTGTCTTCAGCCAACTAACTGCCCCTCTTAAACAGCAATGATGGCCGATACTAGCCAATAAAGGAATGCAAAAAATGCTGAGTCATTTGTTTTATTTCAAGATGTTCCTTAAGGTCCAGAGCTTCCCACAGGATCCCCTGAGGCACCAAATCCAAACACACTGAAGCTTGGCCTTCCCTTCACCCACTTCTGTCTTCTTCATTTACTGTTGATGTATCTTTCAAGAGAAGTTTCCAGTAAAGCCCCTGTATGCAACTCTCCATTCCTGAGTCTATTTCTAGAAACAATAACCAAAAGCTGTATGTTCAGAAAATGAAAAGAGGCCCTAGTTTATGGTTGCAGACTCTATGTATAAAGTAGAGGCACGTAGACAGGTAGATGGAGACCAGATTATGGAAAACTTTAAATGCCAAGGTAACGGAATTGGATTCTCTGCTACAAGTAATGGAGAACCACTGAACAAAAGTATATCCGATCAGAGCGCAAGTTTTTTCCTCAAACTTCACTGGCACTCAGTATGGATCATGGGCAAACGGAGCTAACACTCAAGGTAGGAACTAATCTAGGGGGCCCAAACCTAGAGTTTCAAGCCTAATGGTGGAAAAATAGTGAAGAAGATGAAGGATGGTCCTGATACACCACAATTCATGTTCATTGGCCTCTTCCTGTTACATGCGCTCAAACCTTCCCTCCCCTCTGTCACAATTCTGGATTCCATTAAATGCATATCATGGAAGAACATGGTGCCTCTTTCCAGTGCCTGTGAGTCTGGTGCTCCCTTGACCTCTCCTGCAACCAAGGACACCATAAAAGTCCTGGTGTTAGGATATTCATGAGCATTGGTGACAAGCAGTTAAGCACTTGCTAGCTAACCTCATTGGTGCTTTGACCCTACCTAGTGGCTTTCTGATAAAGAAAAAAAAATTCTCAAACAGGGCCTCAAAACTGATGATCCACTCTGCAAAGATTATTGTTGTTAGGTCAAGTCGCCTGCAACTCAGTGACCCTATGTCTAACAGCTCTGAAACCTTCCCTGCCCTGAGCCAATCTCACTGATTCTGACACACCAATCCCCATTATCCCAGTTACCGTATCAATCCTTCTCATCTGGGACCTTCTCTCCTGTGCTGTCCATCCACCTTTCCAAGCATGATGTTCTTCTCCAGGGTCTAGTTCCTCCTGGCCACGTGGCCAAAATATCTAAGACAGAACTTCATAATCCTAGCCTCCAAGGAGAAATTTTATTTCACTCTCTCCAAGACAGACCTGTTTGTTTTCTTGGTGGTCCATGGTCTGTTCAAGACTCTTCCACAACTTAAAGGTATCAATTCTTCTGCTGTCCTTAGTCATTGTCCAGCTCTTTGATGCAAAGCAAGTAATTGTGAAGACCATGGTTTGGATCAGGCTCACCTTAGTCTCCAGTCTGATGTCATTACTTCTCAGTACTCTGAAGATTATAGTGTAGAGAAGTCAATGAGTCCATCACTCAAAGTTACTGTGAGTAAACACTAACTTAATGATGCCCAGCAACAACTTTAGAAATCAGCATCTATAAACTTTCCATGGTAGATTGATTGCATTTATGAGAATTTTGACAGATCTGTTGACTGTGATTTCTAGGCTCATACTATCTTTTAATAATTTCACTTGAGAAGAAGTATACATTTACTTGGAATTACATGACTGTTCTGATGGCTGTTGACACCATTTTTGATGGTCTGATTTGTATGCAATTGCCTAAAAAAAAAATAGCATACTAAACTCACACTGTTCTTTGTTTGTCTCTTTATGGAATGTGATTTGGGATAAAAATAGGGTTTAAAGTATATTCTACAAACATGTATAGCTTCAATTTTATATCTATGAAATTGGAATAATAGGAATGTGTGTATTTTTTTAGAGTCATTACGGAGAATTTTAGAAGTTGCAAACTATATCTAATGGATGGGAATAGTTTTCCAGTGGGAAGAACTTAGTACTCGGGTAAAATTTGGTACAACTCTAGTTCTTCCACATTATAATTTTTTGCAAGACACTTCATCTCTCTAGAAGCCAAATTTTCCTTACTGGCAAATGGAAATCTCACCTCTACCTTTCAGAATTATAATAACTAATGAAATAAATTGTATAAAATTGGAAGTTTTTCTCTGTATCACAGTTATGCTCATCAGTGTGTCATGTGATGGCATAACTCTTAGTAATTTTCTGTTTTTCTTATTATTTGAAATAATTATATATTGCTTCCCTAGTTATAAATATGATAAATGATAGCTTCAGATGTAGTAAATGCACATTATTTAATGTGAAAGGGGTTGTTGGTTTTTTTTAAAAAAAAAAAGTTAAACCATTCTTTTTCTCTCCAAGGGAAGAAGCGATGCTGTCCACGTACTTTGAAACCATCAATGACCTGCTGTCCTCCTTTGGACCAGTTCGTGATTGCTCCCGGAACAACGGAGGTTGCACCCGTAACTTCAAGTGTGTGTCTGACCGCCAAGTCGACTCTTCAGGTTGTGTGGTAAGTATTCATTGGCCTGCTCTCTGCCCAGGTGTCAAGGTCATTTGCCAGAGTCTCTTCCTTGTGAGGTAGAAACTGATCATGGAGGACATACTTCCTTACTATATGTCTTTTAGCAAAGTAAGTTTTCCTTTTGAGCCTTGCTTCCCTCATTTGCAAAGTATATAATTAAACTATCTCATGGACTTACTGGATGGATTAAATGACTGGTTGGAGCTAAAGTACCCAGAACACAATGTCCTAGAGACCTCCTGACCTCATGAAGGTTACAGTCCCCTTGGAAATGGCATGTCTTGTCTATGGGGACACAGTGGAGTCCATGACAATGAAATGTATGCGGTTTAGTGTGGTCCATAAAAGACAAATCCCTTTGAGAATAAATGTCTTAAGAAAACTTCCTGGTAAAGTTTATTTTAGAACTGGCTCCAAAAGATAAGCCAACTTAAATTATAAAGAATTTTGATGCTCTAGCAAAGTGGGAAGGAAAGGGGGAGAGTCCTCGTGTTCATGCAGTTTTAGTATCAAAGTGGAATAAGAATACAGAAGAAGATTTCTAAGCCCCCCCCCCATTGCCAACAACAGGAGTCTCAAGCATGACTATTTAATAAAAAGTGCCTAAGGTTTAAAATGTAGATTCCATATAGTTCAACCTCAAAAGTTACAATTTATAAAAAGGAGATAAATGTCAGGAACCTGGATTCATTCTCTCTCTCTCTCTCTCTCTCTCTCTCTCTCTCTTTCTCTCTCTCTCTCTCTCTGTGTGTGTGTGTGTGTGTGTGCCAAGAAAGAAGCTTAAGAGACATTGACCTGTAGACCTAACACCTTAGCCTTGTATTTTATGTCCTTCTTAATCTCTTCTTTAGTCAACACTTTACTTCATTGTACAGAAAACCAAATAGAGCTAATTAGATACAATTCTCGGAACAGGCTTTCTATGTAAAAGCCTTAGGGCTGTTGCTCATGCCATTCTTTCTGCCTAGAACAAATTGCTCTCCCAGCCATTGTAGCAGACAAATAGGCATATTCCAGATGTGTCTCCTACGGAAACCTTTCCCTTTGGAGAATGGCCTTGCTTTCTAGTGATCATCACTATTTTCTATAAGCACATTGATTTTCTCATCTATATCATTTTATAGTACAGACTGATTTTTCAAATTTATCTCCTTCAGATAAGTGAAGAGATAATCGAGGGACTCTGTTGGTTCGGACCAGAACTCAAATAGTGTCTATCTCAGTAAATGAGGAACAAAGGAAAAAAGCATGGGAAGGAATAGGACTAGGGTTAAGTTGGGCTAAATTTCTGAAAGTGGACTAAGAGGAATTGTGAATTTAGTCTTTCCTTAAAGTGCTTGCATATTAGCTGGGGAAATAGACATAGACCAGGAGATCAATGCAAAGTAGCAGCTTCCAGAGTACAAAGAAATGCAGTGAAACGTTTAGATTGTAGGAACTCAGAGATAGATAAATAATTAGATATTTTATTGATTAGGATTCTTAGAGTTGCAAGTGCTAGAAATTCAACTCAAACTAGCTTAAGCAAAAGGAGGAAATGTATTGACTTGAGTAACTGAGGACATTTAAGCATTATTGGATTAAGGGACACAATGTCATTGAGATGAGGTCTCCTCTCCTTTTAACTCTGATTTATTCAGTGCCATTCTAAGGTGAACTCAATGCCTTGAAGACAGGAACCTCTTTTCCTTTGACCTTCTAAGCAAAGTCCAAAATGTTTAATCTTATTGGGACAGTTTCTTTCTCATGACCACTTTTGTACTAAGCACTGTGGTCAGGAGAGTGAACTGGACTAGGCTTAGAAAAAGTTATAGCTGAACCTTGGGCCAGAATTTAAAGGCACCAAAACCTGGAGACACAAGCTGAGAGGAGACACAGTCTCTCAAAGGAAAGTACATATCAACAGGAAAAGGAGTTTATATTGGGTGGGTATATGTCTGCATCTGTATATTTCAGAATAGTGCATCCCACTCCTTCATTTTGCTTATTAAGAAACTGAAGCCAAGTAAAGCATGATCCCTTACTAGCCAAGTCATAAGTCTAGCCCAGGGCCAAACAGAACTCAAAAATATTGCCTGGACCACTAATACCTCCAAAACAGGAAGCTAACTTTCCTGAAATAAGATTAAATTACCTTTTCACTTCTTTTTCCACTATTTCTCTTTTCTCAACTCTCCTTATCCTTAGGGAATTTAATCAGTGCCTCAGAAGAATGAAACTTCAGAAAATGCATATGAGAGAGGGAGCATTTATGCACAAGCGACAGACAGACAGAGACAGAGAGGGAGGATGTGTGTGTGTATTTATGTGCAGGCAATAGTCTCTCTCTCACACACATTACTATAAACTGGGGGGAAAGGTAGTTTTTCCTTTTTTTAAAAAAAAACAAAAAACAAAAACCCAACAGTACAGACAGAGTAAGAGAAAGAACAAAAAAGAAAAAAAAAATATTTCCCTGGAGGGTAAGGGAATATTCAACAGTCTGATGAGGTTGTCAAAAACCTTCCTCTCTAGATTAAGAACCTAACGTTGAAGCTGCAGCTCCAAGGTTTGTTGGATGTGAGGCAAGCTCTTCACTGTGCCTTCAGAATAGGCAGGATAATGCCCACTTTTACACTGAGATTTAAAATCTCTCTTATTTCTCTGTAGACTCTCCATCGTGCCTGCAAAGAGCAACTTTGTTCTCACACCCTTCCCATCCCACCAACTCTGTCTAGTATAAAAATAATCTTATTTTTTTCAAACACTTTCAAGTTCTCAAACACATCCATGTTCAATAACTCATTTGTACAACAACCTTGGGTGATAGATTCTCTCACTGGTGTGGATCCTTAGATCAAACAACAGAGTAACTTGCCAACAACTCACAGCCAGGTGGCAGAAGGGAGGGCTAAATCTGTGCCCAGTCTTCCATGCTATCCTCAGCTCCAGGGTCATTTTAAGTTGTTTTCTTGTGGACCTGAGACAAATAATATCATGGAAACAGTAGGCTGGAGTGCGTTATCTTCAAGTCCTGGCTGTTGCCTAGCTTTTGAATCTACATTTACTTCACTAGCCTCAGTTTCTTAATCTTTCAATTGAGAGCAATAGTTCTAAAACTCACAACTTTTCTGAAAATCAAAGACTATGACTGGCAATGATTTAAAATCTACAATGTTCTATTTATGATTAAATCACAATTACTGTTGTTTGTATTTAGTAGATATGATATGAGAAAGTCATACGTTTTCAGAAATTCAACATTTAAATTTTTATACAAAATTTCTGTAAATTCATTTACTGACTCTTTTGACTCTTTAATTCGTTGTGGTCATTGAAGTTAGGTGCCACTGAGTTTAGCTGTTGTTACATTTTGGCAATAAGAACTGACCCATAACTGACACTCCAGTGGTTTTTCAGAGGCAGTTAATCATACAGGAAGAGACTGCCCATCCTTTTCCATACAGCAGCTGGTAGATTTGAACTGTGTACTTTCAGGATTGCAGTACAACTTCTTACCACAAGGCCACCAGAGCTGTCTATCTAGTTGTTGTTATTGTTGTTAAGTGCCATCGAGTCACCTGCGACTCATTAGAACCCTGTGTACAACAGCTCTGAATCCAGCCCTGTCCTGAGCCAGTCTCACTAATTCTGACACACCAATCTCCATTACTGTGTCAATCCATCTCATCCGCAGTTGTCTTGTTCTACACTGTCTCTTCACCCTTCTGAGCATGATGTCCTTCTCCAAGGACTGGTCACTCCTGGACACGTGCCCAAAATATGTGAGACAGAGCTTCAAAGTCCTGGCTTCCAAAGAGAAACTTGGTTTCACTCCCTCCAAGACAGACCTATTAGTTCTCTTGATGGTCCATGGTATGTTCAAGACTCTTCTCCAGCACCACAACTCAAAGGCATCAATTTTTCTTCTGTCATTCTTAGTCATTGTTCAGCTCTCTGATTCATAGCAAGTAATTGCAAAGACTGTGGCCTGGCTCAGGTGCACTGTAGTCTCTAGACTGACATCATTGCTTCTAAGTATTTCTGTTGCTTTCTAAGAGCAGGTTTTCCCAATCCTGTAGGAGACACTAATTATTGTCAACATAGGTTATAGAGAGTAAATAATGAAAAGCCAACATGTATCAGTTCTGATACCTCCTATCTTATTTGGTCCTTTGTCATCACTCTTTTTCTGTCATTATTATTATTTACACTGTTCGGGCACTCTGATGGCCTAGTGGTAGGGAGCCACACTGCCATCCTTAACTCATAAAGTTCAAATCCAGCTGCTCCGCGGGAAAAGGCTCAACTGTCTCCTCCCACCCAGTTTACTGTCTCTGAAACCCACTGGAGGGTCAGCAGTGAGTCAATTCCAACTTGGTAGTACATAACAGCAACAACAATATCTCACCTATTACTCCAAAGTTGTTATTTTTTCTATTTGATTTTCTACTTCGGCTGTGATAGTCATCTCCTAGATAATTCAGGCTTCAGTTGTAATTGCTCAAATTACAGAGAATTATAGGATGTGCAGTAGACAGAATAATGCGACCCCTCTCGCAAAGATATCCACATCCTAATCCTTAGAATTTGCAAATATATTACTTTACAGGTGAAAGGTGGAAATAGAATTAAGATTGTTAGTCAGCAGACTTTATAATAGGAAAAATATTCTATATTGTCAGAGTAGACCCAATAGTTGTCCAAACCAGAAACCAAACCCCTTGCTGCCAAATCACTTCTGACCTATTGGACAGAGTACACCACTTCCTCATAAGTTTTGGTGGTGGTGGTGGTGTTATGTGCCATCGGGTCACTATATGTACAAGAGCCCTAAACGCTGCTCCATCTTGTGCCAACCTCGCCATCTCAAACACACTCATTCCCACCACTCCACTCACAGAATTGATCCATCTCATTAAGGGTCTTCCTCTCCTGCACTGTCCCTCCACTCTGCCAAATATGATGTCCCTCTCCAAAGACCAGTCCCTCCTTGCAACATGCCCAAA